GGCAAACATCCCTTTGGTCCCTTTCTGTTTGTTGCCCCCATCTGTCACTGGGGTTTGGTCTCGAAGGTGCTGTGAAGTCTACTCAGCTCTGTGAGTTTAAAAAAAACTCGAGGGACACAGAGGGAGACAAAGGGAGGGGAAGGGAAGAGCTGGAGCTGCTCCTTTTGTAGCTAAATAGACCCTAGGAAGCCTGGACCCAGCTGGGAGCCCCTCAGTGGAGTGGCCTGGCGGGTGCCCCTGGGCTAGTCCTGCCCCCAGTACCAGCAGACCCCTGCTCCTTGACCTGACCAGAGCCCTGCTCAAACCTGAGGTTTCAGGGGCTGAGTCTAGGCCTGAAGGTGTTATCAGGCAGGTTGGAGGGCCCTTTAGGGTGGGGTAGAAGAAGCTTGCAGGTCAGGGATACACACATGACATTCTCACACCACATGGACACACAACACCATCAACGGTGTCTACGTAAGTACACAGTACACACCCCTGTCCCCACTCATCTGCCCTCTCCGCTCCCACGCAGTACACCCCCACCAGCCGGGACAAGATCTGGCAGCTGAACCCAGCTCCAGGCAAAGCCTCAGAGGGCGGGCAGGATGATCAGTCCCAGCCCAACCTCCCACGGGCTCTGGACTCTAGCCCAGAGGCCCTGGGTCAGGGATTAAGGGCTGGGCTTTGGGAGGAAAAGCCCAGAACATGGGGGGGCTGTGCCTGTGGGAAGGGCAAGTGCTGGAGCCCCTGCTCCTTGTGTGGCCCTGAGTGGCTCTCCTCACTGCTTTCCCACCCCACCACCTTGAGCTTCTCAGTCTGGGACAGAGATTGGAGCCAGTGATCCCCAGACTCCCACATTGTCCACTTGATCCCCAGCATTTACCACTGGGCCTTGACAGCTATGAGATACTGGGAGGATGAAGGGTGAGGCCCTAGGAGGCCCTTGGCATGGGGTGTGTTGGGGGGCAGGATTGGGCAGCTATTAACTGGCCCCTTGGGGCTTTCTCTTGGTTTGTGGCTCAATTCAGGGTAGGGACCTGCTCTTGTGGGTCCCAGACCTAATCTCCTTCCTTTGGGGTTCTGCCAGTAGCTTCCCTGTTTTGAGGCCCCTTCTTGCTGACCATGCTGCTCCCCTGCTGACCATTCCTCCTTGGCTCTCCACCCCCAGCAGGATGAAGCCTGACTCCTGAGCCTGGTTTCAGGGCCCAGCATGGCATGGCCCCTGCCCATCCCGCTGGCTTTCCTCTCCTCTCTCTCCCTGCCCCTTCCATCCATGAGGAGAGCACATTGCTCTTCCTCTCTCCAGCAGGCTCTTTGCACAGGCTGTTGCCTCTGCGTGGAATGCCCTTTCTTGCTGTGTCCCCTGGGTGAATGCTCTACTTCTTTTCAAGCCCCGGGCTGCCTCCTTGACGAGGTCTTCTGATTGACTCCTGCCCCTAGCACAGCCTCTGCCTCCTGGCCTGAGTGTCTCTGACCAGGCGGGTTTTGGACCTAGGTCTCCACTTGGTCCCAGCATCCCGCTGCATGAATTCAAGGCCCTGGACCTTGAGGTGTCAGTGTCTCCACTGCTGCCTGTCAGCCTGCCTCAGTCTCCGGTTCTGGTCTTGTCACTGCTTCCCTCCTCACTTGCAGGATTTAAAACACAAATTTGCATATTCACAGGCAAGACCTTGGGTGGTCAGAGCAGATGCAATCCTTGGTATAGCTCAAGAGAATCTCCTCCTTGTCCCCAAATAGCATCTTGAATGGCCCATCATATCAGACATACCACCAGTAGGATTTTGATTCTTTGAGGATGACAAGGTTATGCTCTGACGAACACGTGCCTGTCCCTGTGCAAGGAACCTTTTATGTAGGCCTGGCTGGACCGAGCTCCCAGGGTGTCACTCACCCCTTTCCATACCCCTGGTAGACCTCACTGATCACAGTATCACAGTATTTATTCCCATTGAACTTGAACTCAGTCCCTCAATCTTCAGTACAATCTTACAAGTAGATAGTAACAATTCACCAGGCCTAGTTTGTGATTTCAAATAATTTTGTGTTGGGTTTCTGGGCTCTAGGATCATCCAGTCTACCCCTTGTTTTCTAATGGGGGCAGCTCCAAGCTTCAAGGAGAGAACACCCTCACCCCCAGCAGGGAGCCTTTTCCAGTCTTCATTGGGCTTCCTGACTTTGACTGAGGCTCTGAGACAGTCATTGGGAGCAACAGAATGAGCCCCACATACCTGCCTATTTGTACTGGCCCAGCTGCTCAAGAGCTGTGTGGCCTTAGGCCCATCCCTTGCCTCTCTGAACCCCAGCTCCCTCATCTATAATGGAGGCAACAGTAGCTGCCTTGCTGGTCAGGAGGATTAAATGAGATCATCGGTGTGAAACCTGGTATACAGTTGGTGCTCAGTAGGTATGCAGGTGTCTTGACTCTTATGTACCCACCCACTCCAGCCTGATGGCTGTGGGCTGGGCTGGCCAACTCACACCTGACTTCATTTCCTGGTTCTGCCCTGGGCCCACCTCCTACGCCCCTCTGTTCCTCTCCAGAAGGAAATCTCGTTCGCTGCCTGCCTGGCCCTGGGGTCCCTGCTTCCCCTCCTCCCAGTATCTGTGCCTGCCCGGATCTGACTGTTACTGTGTCCCAAGACAGACAAACTGGAGGTCCTTGAATGAGTTTAGGGACCATTTGGTCCATCCCCTGCCCTAGAGAGATTCGAGGAGTGAAGGTCAGAGCAGACCTAAGACCTCTCAGTATTCCTCCTCCAGGAAGCTTTCTGGTATTTTTCCACCTAGCATCCACTTGGACTTGGGTTAGGATGGACATTTTAGTATCGCTAGCCAGAAGCCAAGCTCCTCAGGGCAGGACCTGTCTCTTAGAACATTCCTTCCAGGATCATTTGGCTCCTCGTGCCCGCTTCTGTGGCTTAAACTGTCAGGTTCAACCCTCCCTGACTTTTCCCCGCTCCGAGCTTCACTATGGAGTGTGGTGGGGCTGTAGGGTCTGAAAGGGCTGGCCTCACTCCCTATTTTGCTTCCATCTCATGCTCACTGTGTAACCTGGGACTGGCGGCTTGGTCTCTCTCAGCATCCAGCATCCGCGGTCCCCTCTGTCAAATGGGAATTCTTTTAGTAGCTTCAAGGATGCTGAGGGGGTGGGGAGAGGTGTGGAAGTAACTGGGATAGATCTCCGTAGGCGAGAAGCCCAAGATTTTTCTAGAGCGAGTGGCAGCTGTGTTCACCTTGTGTCCCCGAGGCAGCAGCAGAGCTGTGAGTCAGCCAACTTGGGAAGAAAATACGTGTGGCCCCTCTGGTTTCCTGCCCCCATGTCCGGCTCTTGTTTGCAGCACAATCGGTCAGGTTGAAGCTGCAGGGTGGGCAGCTTAACCCCTGCGAGGCCAGTGCATGCCTCCTCTACTGCCTTGCAATGGTAAGCAGGAATTGGCAGGGCTGCCGGGGGGCCTAGCAGCTGCTGGGCCCCTTGGAGATCACCTGCTGCCCCCCAGACTGGGGCCCAAAGAGGGCTGGTCTCTGCTGCTCCCCACCACCTGACGGGGGGGCCAGAGCCCCTGGTCCTGGCAACTGGGGCCTTCAGTGTCGCTAGCCCTCCTGGCACTTCCTGCTCTAAAAATCCCTGTGGCCACGGCAGCCTCCCTAAGTCCTCTGAGCGGCCCAGGCTTCCTGCCTCCCCCAGAGTGCCCTTCATCTCCTGGGGGATCCTGTTTGTCCCCTTCACACAGCAGCATCGTCTGTGGGGTAGGGAACAAGCTCGGCCTGGAGTGCTTGCCAGAGGAAGAGCTAAGTCCACATCTTCTCCCTTGCATCCCCCCGCCCCCCCACCTGCGGAGGACACACTGACCTCAGGGGTCAAAAACCTTACGACATTCACAGCTCTGGGGTAGCGGCGACAGTCAGCTGTGATTTCTTGAAGGCCCCCCTCCCGTGAGCCATTCCTGGTGCCGGCACTGGGTGTGCACACCATCTCCTTTCATTGACTCATGAAAAGACTGCTTTCCTCTGGCTCACAGATGAGAAAGCTGAGACATGGAGGAACTCCTTGGCACTGGCAAGAGTCTGGGCTTTGGGGTGCCGATCCTGGTTCAAATCCCCACTCCCGCTCTTACTTCGCCCAGTCTCAGTTGCCTCCCCTGAGGAACAGAGAAAGGACGCATCTAAACTCATGGATTCATTGGCAGTAGTAGAATCATGAGCTCCGTCAGACAGAACCTTTTATCCTATCACCTTCAGTTCCCATAACCGCTTGCACAACGAGTCCCTGTTTCCATTGTTCAGACGAGAGCGTGGAGGTTTAGAGGTGCTGAGTAATTTTCCCAAAGCAGCATGGGAAGGATTGGGAGATCTGGGGATCTCACCTTAAACTGCCTGCCTTCAACTCTTTTGGGGGGACTTCCCTAAAATATGAGGGCTGTGGGCATCTGACTATAGCTCCCATGGCTCAAACCTGGCCCCCGCAGTGTCCAAGGCAGGGCGGGGAGGGATCCATAGGCAGGGCCTCAGGTGCTCAGAGACAAGCCTCAGCTTGCCTATTCTAAAAATGGGGGCACTGGCTGACAGAGAGGGCCTGGGGGCTCAGAGCTCCCCTTCCAGGGCTCCTCTCCCAATACCAGCACAGAACTTGGGCAGGAGGGACGATGTCAGGCCTTGGGACCACGCAAGGGGAGACTAGGCCTGGTGCCGGTCTTCTGCCTCTGCTGTGCTGGCAACTCAGACAGACTACTTCCCTCTCTGATCATGGCAAGGGGCCCTCACGCCACACAGAGTTGGAGAGTCTTCATGTGGGAGAGCCTAGTCCTTCCCCCCCAGTCCTGAGAATGCCCATTTGTGTCCGTGGCACCACCAGTAGGCACACTCTCCTGTCCCTGCTCTGAGCCAGGAGGAGACCCGGTCTGCCCCCAAGGAATGGCTCTTCCCTGGGACCCCGACAACCACCGCTCTACACCCAGGGAAGCCGAGCACCCTCACAGCGTGGTCTGGGGTGGAGTGGGGCGCAGAGATTTGTCACTCACCGTGCTCGTGGGCTGAGAGGTGTCTTCGTTCCGTCAGACTGTCCGTCTGGGGCTGAGTTGCTGTGGAGTTTGTGGAGCTCTGCCGATAGCCTCTCGAGGAGAGCCACACCCGGCCGACTAGGGAGGCCTGGCTGCCGCCCCTTCAGGTTTTCCAGCTGGCCCTGGCCCACTTCCCCCTGGGATGGCTTCCTGTTATTGTTCCTTTGTGAGGGCCGGGCTGGCTGCAGATAGGCAGGCTCTGTGGTGGGCGGCTGCCTTGGCCTGGCCAGGCTACCCCCACAGAGTGCTAGGCCTAGATGTGGCCTGGGATGCTCAACTCACACTCTGACCCCAGGCCTCAGCTGTGGGGCTCTGGGCCTGGCACCCGCCAGGGTCCTTAGTTCATCCTCCTTGTAACCCTCAGGGTAGGTGTCATCACTCCCATTTTATAGCTCAGGGCACTGAGACTCTAAGTTTAAGGTGCTTCTTTACCCAGCTGGGGTGTACAGAGCAAGAGATCCAGCCTGGGTCAGCCCGGCCCTGGAGCCAGATCTTCCGAGGTGACCCATGACATGCTGAGAGAGGGGCAGACTTTGCAGGTGATGGGGAGGCTTCAGGGCTTTTGGGGGTGGCTGGGTGGGAGATAGGAAACAGGCAGCAGCTCTTGGCTCTGGAGGGCCAGATTGGCTTCTCCCTGGTAGGGGCGGGCATGGGTTCTAGCTCTAAGGTAGCAGCTGGGGCTTGTGGGGGGCATTTGAGTGTGGGAATATCTGGTGGAGTCAAGTGCCCTAGCTCTGCTTCTGATGTGACTGTGGGGCCAGTCATGTGACCCGATACTGAGTTTCCTCATCTGTAGATGGGGATAATCAGAGCCTCAACCTCACATGGCTGTTGAGATAAACAAGGGTCAAAATGAAGCTGAAGGTGGGATCAGTCCATCCGAACCAAGCACCTGGGGGCAGGAGGGGATCAGATTCTGTGAACCTTAAGAGTCATAGGAGGAGTTTTTGTAACCTGCAGATACCAGGGCCCTACTCCAGCTCAGCTGATTTGGAATCTCTCAGGGTGAGCAGTGGGAATCCGTCCTCTGAATGGTTGCCTCTGTTTTCCCATGGGTGAGTGGTTGGGAAGTCCCAAACTTGTTCCTTTATAGGACTGGGCAAACAGAGACCTGAGAGAGGGAGCCTCTTGCCCAGGAGCGCTCTGGACAGTCTTTGGACAGGAGTACGGAGATGGGGAACAGGGTGGAAGAATATTTTCTGGGAAGGGGAGATAGAAATTTCTCTGTTTTGGGCACGTCGAGTTAGAGATGGCTTTTAGACCCCCAGGTGGTGATGCCAGGTTGGCAGATGGAGAGGGGTGGATACAGGTGGCCTAGAGATGAGGTTCAGAAACCTTGAACTTATTTATGGCTTATTTACCTGAGGTCCTGGGATTGGATGGACTTACCTGGAGGGAGACCCCAGCCTCCTAGATTTGTAGATCTTCTAGGAGAGCCCAGCTGGTAAGGGGGAAAGCTGGGAGAGAGCAGGGCTATGGACAGTAGGCAAGGATGAGGACAGGGTATCAGCTGGGTCAGCCTGGGTGAGGGGAAGGCGGATTTGGAAGCTGGAAGTCATGGGCCATTGTGGGCAGAGCAGGTTAAATGGAACGGAGAAGACAAGGCAGATTAGAGGGGCCAGCGAAGGGGGATGAAGGGGGGAGATGTGTGTGATCACAGCTCCTTCCTGAGACTTAGAGTGAACGGGAGCAAGAAATGGAAGGTTTTCTGTGTGTGTGTGTGTTTAAAGCTACGTTTGTGCTGAGGGGACTTCCAGCAGATGGGGAGGCCAAATGATGCTAGAGGGGGAAGAGTGACCTGTGGAAGGAGGACGGTCCTGAGGCAGGCCTCTGCACAGGATCCAGCACATTCCATCACTTTCGGCGGAATGAACAAACAAAGGCGCAGCATTTTCTTGTTTTCTTCTCCAACAGGCTTAACTCTGCCTTCCCCTGCCGGAGGGTGAGGGAGGCCCCAGAGGAGCCAGGACAGGCCAGCGCTCCGTCTCTGGTCCCTCGGCCCGATTCTCCCGGCCCCGCACCCCCTTAGCCTATGTCGACTGCCTGCTGTGTGGTCTACGTGCCCACGGGGCCAGGCTGGGCCTGGCCTTACTTCCTGCTGGGTCTCGGACTTGGCGCTGGTGGCAGATGGGGACAGGGTCTGTCTTGGCACCATCTGCCAATTCCCTTTGTACTCCCAGTCCACGGGGAAGTCGACTATGCCCTGAAGCCTGCAGTTCCTGTGGTCTGTAAATAAGGGAATGGCCATTCAGGCCTGTGCCCCTGGGGCAGGGATGTGGTCTCTGTGCAGAGGTAGTCCAGGCCACAGGAGGAGGGCTAGGGCCTCTTGGGGCCCCTGGGGATCTCATGCCCCATATCTGCCACCACCCAGCCTCTGCTCCAACCCCTCTGCAGGCAGAGGAGGTGCTGCGAGGGCACAAGGCCAGGAAGTGCCATCGGGAGCAAAGGAGGCAGCCGGGGGGGCCGGCAGGAAACGGGATGGTCTGTGAGACCTGATTAGCAGTGGAGGAGGAAGCGACCGTGGGGGCGTTGGGGTGGGCTGGGGAGTGTAGCAGGGGGGCCTTGGGACACCTACCTAGCCTCTGCCAGGACGACAGCTGCCTGGGGGCTTGGCCCTGTGATGCTGTCCTTGGAGAGCTACAGACCTGGTTCAAATCCTACCCTGGCCTCTCATTGCTGAGTGACCTGGAGCAGCCGATGTACCTCTCTGAGCCTTTCCTTACCTGTGAAATAGGTTACTCGTCCACACTCTGCAGGGCTGTCCAGAGGATCAAAGAAGATGACACAAATGCATGACCTCAGCAAGAAGCATTTACTGAGCAGGTGTTTCTTAAAGTGTGGCCTTCAGGCTTCCTGCCTCCGGATGGATCACTGGGGGAGGGTTTGTTGAGAATACAGGTTCCTGGGCCCCAGCCCAGGTGGATGGAGGCAGGATGGCTGGCAGTGGCTCCCTGAGGCCTAGGACATGCGGACGCTCACGTCCGGGGAGCACAGCCTGTGTGCATGGGCAGTGGGTGGAGCTCTGTCTCAGGAGCTCCTGTTGCAGTCCTCAGAGCACCCTGGGGGACAGGACTGTCATCATCCCCACTGTGCCGAGACGGGGAAACAGAGGCTGCGAGTTACGTGCTTTCCTACATCAGAGCTTGTCAGGGTTGGAGTGGCACTTCCGAGCCAGGCCTGTTTCTGGAGGCCGTGTCCTCGCCCCCCAAGCTCTCCTGCCCCCCTGTGGCTGGCACACAGTAGGGGCTCATCAACAGGAGTGCTGTGCCTTCTTCCCCACGGTGCTGGAGGCCCAAGTGCTGGGCAGGGAAGCCAGGCAGCCTCTCACCTCCGGGTCTTTGCTCATGCTCTCCCACCTCTGGGGTTGCCTTCTCTCTGCCCCCTGGCCTGCTTGCAGAGCCTCTGTCATTGCCCTGTCCACCCAGAACACCCCCCTCCTCTGCCCTCTCTGCCACTCCGCTCTCTCCCTGGGCTCCTGAAGCATCCTGCAAGACCCCCTTCACGGCCCACCACCTTGCTCACCTACTCATCTGGCCTCCCTCCACCCAGGATCAGGATCGTGTCCCCTTTGTGTGTCTGTCTGTGGTGAGTTCCCGGCCCAGGGCGAGTGCTCCATATACATGGACTTGACACCGTGGCTTGCTAGCAACCATAGTCAGCCCATTGTGGGTCAGATCTGTGGCTTCCGCAGGGATTGCATGGGTGCACAGGGCTCTTCACCCCTGCACTGAGTGGTAAGGGGCTGTGTGCAAAGCCCCCCAGGATGCCGTGAGCATGCACACAGTGTCACAGAACACGTAGGCGGGGGATACAGTGAGGATTCTCCTGTGAGGAAACTCCTGGGTTGTACTCCATGGATGCTGTTAGTAGCTTGCTCTGATTGCTGAAGTATTTCTCATTTCCTTCCTCTCTTCTCCAGATAATGGCTCCAGACACCATAGCTGCTGAGGAGTGTGGGTACCTGAGGGTCAGACTTTCCCTGGGTGGAGGTTGGGTGGGGACAGAGGGGACAGTTGAGCATGTTGGGCTCACCAGGCTGCTGCTGGGCTCCTGCCTGCAGGGGAGAGAGGGCAACATGCCCCATGAGTTACAGGCACAGAGGGCTTTGTGGGCCAGCCTGCTTAGTTACACGCAAAGGAAGAACCCTTTTGCCCACCAGGGATTTAGGGGAGGCCCCCTGGCTGTGGTGGGGGTGAGGGTGGACCCAACCTTCAGGGGAAATAGAATGGGAGTCTGTGTGGGGTAGGCTCCGGGAGCCCACGAGGGCAGAGGAGCAGGAAGGAGGAGCAGGGGAGGGGTCTTTCCCTCAACTGGGTGCCACAAGGAACAGGGAGAGCTCCTCGGGCAGGGACAGGGCTGGGTTTAACATCGGGTGCCCAGGGTGGGAACAGAGCAGGGCTCATTGAAAGAAAGAATGCATGAGTGAGTGACTAAATGGGTTGATAACCACTGGTATAGGGAGGCAGACCCAAGGCCTGGGGCCAGGTGTGTCCCTGTGTTCTGTGGTGCATTCCAGTGCACAGTGGGTCCTTTTCTTGAAGGCTTCAAGGAAGCACCGAATCAATCAATCTGTCCATCTCTCCGCCCTGCTGGGTGCCCAGCTCTGTGCCAGGCTTCGGGTGGGTGCCCAGGGAAGTGAAAGAGATCAACCCTTGATAAACTCTGAGTCTGGGGTGGAGGTCTGGCAGTCACCAACAAGGCCATGAACTCAGCACCAGCTGTGTGCTGTCTCTGCCCTGGGCCCTGTACTTTCTTGTCAGTATTCACGATGACCCTGCGAGGGGTTGTGGCTCTGCCCAGCTCACAGTGTTAAGTAAGAAGCCCGGCGTGGCACTGGCCAGCTCAAACGGGGCCTCCTGTGTGTGCTGAGCCTTGATGAACACCCTAGATCCAATCTTCCTGCTCCAGCTTCTGCCTCCGAGGTTGCTCTTTGTTTCCCACCTCTGCCAGCCCAAACCCTCCCAGCCCTTCAGTGCCCAGCTCAGATGCACCCCACCCTCCATCCAGTCTTCCCAGGTTCCCATTCTGGGAAGCATCATGCCCTCTGGGAAGCTTCCACTCCACCTACACCCCACTTGTCCAGTTTCAAAGCCTCGCGGGCCCCTCCCCTATTTTCT